TCTTCCCAGCTTCTAACCTTTCCCCCTGAACCTGTTGTCCTCATTCCTAACCTCTTGCCTTCATGCGTGTCTTCTCCTGATGTTTTCCACCCGCCCCATGACCTCAGATCTCCCTGCAGCCTGCTAGCCTCACCCTAAGCCTACTGTCTTCTCCCCAGACTTCCGTGCATTCACTGAGACTCCCATCTTTTTCCTCCCCAGACTCCTGCCTTGTCTCTAGGCTTATGTCCTCTTGTAGCATTCGAAGAGCCTCTGAATCTCCAGCCTTCCTCTTAAAGCTTGTAACAACCCAGCTCTTGGACGGCAAAGACAAGAGGATCATGTGTTTGGTGGTAACCTGTAAAGGAACACGCCACCCCCAAAAAAACCAAGGTCCTAAGAAACACTCAAAGTTCTAAAAGCCAGCTATTTGAGAACTGCAGATAAAAGCCTCTGATCCCGACCGAGAACACCCAGTGGTTGCAAAAACAACTCCATCACACAGTTTCAAAAACAAACAGTTTGTGTAAGGAAAACAGCTAATTTCGCCATTCTGCCCTAAGCAAATACCCTTCCTCCTTCTCTATCCCCAGCTTGAAACATGTAATCTTCATTCTTTTGAACTCTGGTCATTGAGTGTCTGGGTCCTGTGCCCTGATGGTTGTGTGGCCAAAACTTGAGAAGCCACCTCTCTGACGTTCAATAAAGCTTCTCTAGGTGTTAAGGTCAGCTATGTCCTTATTTCTTCCTGCACATTTAACTCTTACATATTCTTACAGCTCAGGCTACAAGATGAGTTCCTCTCTGAGAGCAAAATTTCCTAATAATTTCAATATGAAGATAAGGAAACAGTCACACATATTATTCTCCAACAAGCCCGAGCACCTTGTCAGTCATTCTTGAACTTTTTTTGATTTCTCATTTTTGTTTTTATTTTATTTTTTAAGGTTTATCTTATTTTTGTGAATTTATGTGAATGGGTATTTTACCTGCATGTACGTCTGTGCACCACATGCATGCATTATCCACAGCAACCAGAAGAGGGAATCAGATCTCCTGATGGTGGCCTTAGAGCCACTTGTGAGTGTTTTGAGTGTAGGCGTTGGGAATGAAGCCTAGGTCCTCTGGCAGAGAGGCCAGTGCTAATACCCACCATGCCAACAGTCCTGAATTTTTATTTTAATTTTCTTGTATATTTAATGTCTGTATCTGTAACCCAAAGTGTTCTTTAACAAGTTTAGTGTTATTTATACTTTATGAATATGGAACACAGTGACTGCTTGGCAAGAACTGGCAGCTTTAAGACCCTGAAGGGAAGGAAGTATATAGAGGCCCAATTTCTTGTGTTATTTTATAATAAAATGGCATTTTTGATGTGTGACACCATATTCATTTGAATGTGTTTAATTTAGATTTGGCCTTGTTTTATCAATATCCCTTCAAGTGTTTACTATGTGTGCAATCTCAAATGAGTTGATTGACTGGCCACTTGAAGTTTTATAGTCACCATCCATGTCACCTAACTGCTTTCTCCAGCCAAGACAGAATCCAGTCTGGCTTTTAATTTAACTTGCTCATCTTCATTACATTCAGTTATGTTTGGCTTGGGACTCCTTGAGGTGCTTTTGGAACGTCTTTGTGCAAAGATCATTTGTGAAAAGGAAATTAGTATTTATTTGAGTCTCTCTAATTTAACATTACAATATTTTCTTTTGACACAATTGTCTTTCTGCTATTGGCAGCAAATGCCATTGGCAGCAAATGTTTGGAGCTTGTTTTCACTTGCAGTTCTAGAACTTACTTAGCTGAGTCCTCACAGCAGTGCATGCTCTTACCCATCTGCCAGCGGTGGGGCTTTAAACTCACGACTTTCGTTTTATAAAAGATTTGTGTGTTTATGACAATGTTAGAAATCCTGGATCTTCTAGGAGTTTGTGATAAAAATGGATTTGCTATATTTAGTGCCCAAATGAAGAAAAAATAGTTCTAATAGGCTTTGTGCTTATTGCTTTAACAAGAGTTATAAGCCCCAAATTGAATTTAACTTTAAGTCCTTATACAAATTATTTCATAACTTTACCAAAATGTGAAGTGATTTTATGTGCACAAATTCCCAGAAGTACTGGTCAGTGTTTAAAGATTCATTTCCCAAATGAATTTCAGGCTGAAATTCATATTATGTAATCCACTACTGCCAAACTTTTAATACTATATCCTTGAAAACAATGCAGACTCTCCTTAACCTCTGAGCCATCTCTCAAGCTCCATTACAGAGCTACAGTAATGAAAACAGCTTGGTATTGGCATAAAAACAGAGACATTGACCAATGGATTGAAGACCTGGATACCCACATACCTATGAACACCTGATTTTTGACAAAGAAGCTGAAATTATACAAAGGAAAACAAGAAAGCATCTTCAATAAATGGTGCTGGCATAACTAGATGTCAACCTGTAGAAGAATGAAAATAGATCCATATCTATCACCAGGCACAAAACTCAAGTCCAAATGCATTAAAGACCTCAATATAAATCTGACCACACTGAACCTGATAGAGGAGAAAGTGGGAAGTAGCCTTCAATGCATGGGCACAGAAGACCACTTCCTAAGTATAACCCCAGTAGCACAGACAATAAGAGCAACAATGAATAAATAGGACCTCCTGAAACTGAGAAGCTTCTGTAAAGTAAAGTACACTGTCAATAAGACAAATAGGCAACCTACTGAATGAGAGAAGATCTTCACCAACCCCACATCAGACAAAAGTCTATTCTCCAAAATATATAAAGAACTCAAGAAACTAGACATTAAAATTCTAAATAACCCAATTAAAAAATGAGGTACTGAATTGAAGTGAGAATTCTCAACAGAAGAAGTTCAAATGGCCCAAACTTATTTAAGGACATGTTCAACTTCCTTAGTGATCAGGGAAATGAAAATCAAAACAATCTTGAGATACCATCTTACACCTGTCAGAGTGGCTAAAATCAAAAACACCAATGATAGCCTATGCTGGAGAGGATGAGGAGTAAGGGAACACTCATCCATTGTTGGTGGGAATGCAAACTTGTGCAACCACTTTGGAAATCAGTGTGATGATTTCTCGGGAAATTGGGAGTCAACCTACCTCAGGACCCAGCAATTCCACTCTTGGGAATATACCCAAGAGATTCCCTATCATACTACAAAAGCATTTGTTCAACTATGTTCATAGCAGCACTATTTGTAATAGCCAGAACCTGGAAACAACCTAGATGTTCCTCAACTGAAGAATGGATAAAGATAATGTGGCACGTTTACACATTAGAGTGCTACTCAGCTTAAAAAAAAAGTGACATCTTGAATTTTGCGTGCAAAATTCACTATCCTGAGTGAGATAATCCAGACCCAAAAAGATGAATATGGTGTGTAATTACTTATAAGGGGATACTAGCTATAAACAAAGGACATTGACCCTATAGTTCATGATCCTAGAGAAGTGAAGTAATCAGGGAATCACCAAAATATATAGATCCAGCTGGAAGTTGGAAACAGACAAGATCACCTGACAAAATTGGGAGCATGGGGTGGGGAAGAAGGGAGGGAGGGTAGAAGCGGAAGAGGAGAGAAGAAAGGGAGGGCTGAGGAGAACTTGAGGGAAGGGATAGTTGAGATGAAGAAGGACAGAGAGGAGAGCAAGGAAAGAGATCTCTAGATTGAGGGAGTCATTATAGGGTTAGCAGAAGCCTCACTCTAGAAAATTTCCCAGGAATCCACAAGCATGACCCCTCCTAAGACCCTAAACAATAAAGGAGAGAAGGCCTGATGTTGACTTGCCCTGTAGTCAGCCTGATTAATATCTTAAATATCACCATAGAACCTTCATCCAGCAACTGATGGAAACAGAAGCAGAGACCCACATTGGAGCACTGGACTGAGCACCCAAAGTCCAGTTGAAAAGTGAGAAGAATGAGAATATGAGCATTGAAGTCAAGACCATGAGCCCAAGATGGGCTCATGGACTGAAACAGTTTACCTGAGGTAATAGCTAATCCTTTTCTGCTATGTTTACTTCTGTTTTGAAATGTAATCAGAGGCCACTGTCCTGGATGGTAGTTCAAGTGGGTCCCCTGGATCATGAGCACAGTGATGTTATCCAGAGTGGCATCATATATGCGACTAACCTACTGACTGCTTCCTGACACCCAATTATGGGGCAGGGGTACATGCCTTTTAGCTCATCCCATGCCATCCTATCCCATGCCATCCCATCCCCCAACAAGAATCCAGTTTTAGGAACATGATTACAGGGATGCAGTGAAAATCTGTCTCTGATCTCGGCCAGTACTAATGTCTTTCAGTCACACTTATCAGTGTCATTAAGGGATGCCCCTCTGGTGAGGGATGTAGGGCTGCATTGTGTACAAGGGTATTCTGGATACGGGGGAACAGTTTGGCTCAGGAGACCCATCTCTCAGGGTCCCAACAACTACAGAGATGCCAGACACAGACTGGACCTGCTTGCTGAAGCCAATTGCAGCACCATATACCACCGGTGCCACAGAGAACTTCATGAAGCCTCAGACTTTCTGTGTGCCAAGGAAGCAGTGACATTCGAGAATGGAGAAGAATCATAGGGGAATTCTATACCGAATGGTTTCATCAGTACAAGCCACCTAGAGGAAGAGCCCAGTTAGGAAGCAGGAATTCTGCCTGTGCCTGTGTGTGTGTGTGTGTGTGTGTGTGTGTGTGTGTGTGTGTGTGTAGGGGGGTGGGGTAGCAGACACACCCACCAAGAGCCAGGCAGTTGCTCAGCAGGAGCCAACTCTCAAGAGAACTTGCTTGCAAGGAACAGAAGCTGGTGGTGGTTCTCCAATCCCACACACTCCAAGAGCCAGAAAGTAGCTCAGCAGGAGCCAACCCTCCCAAGAACTTGCTTGAAGGGAACAAGAGTTATTAGTGCCCCTCCCCCACCCACCAAAAGACAGGAAGTAGCTCATCTCGCGAGAACTCGATTGTTCAAGCACAGTGCACCTCACGTGGTGTGCTCGGTGGGGCTCATAACTGCCACCTCATCTCCTTAGCTGAGCCTGAGTAGTGCCGTTGCTTAAGGCAGGGGAGCTGAGTGAAAAGTCCGAATCGCCATGCAGGATCCTGGTGAGGCCACAGGTGGTAGAACACGGGTCGAAGAAGGCGAGGATGGACAGCAGCGACCTCGAGCTTCCGATATCCAGGCTAGCTCTCAGAGTTCGGCGGCAGAGGGTGACCAAGACGAGGTCCCTCGTGAGAGTGGCCCACAAGATGCCAATAGCCAGTCTGTTCCAGGCAGGTCCCACCCAGGGAGCCCTTTAGGGTTAGGTGTGGCCGCTGAAGAGGCAGCTGTCGTTCTCCAAGATGAGCTACCACCACTTCTCTCTGGACCCAGTGGAGATGCTGTAACAACTGCAAGTCGATCCCTGGAATTGTATCCTTTCTTGGGAGACCTTTGGCCAGGGCTATGGGAAGATAGGAAGGATGAAACGTGAAACAAAGTCTTTCGGGTGGGTGAGCAGGAAGGTTGACAGCAAGGGAAGGAAGAGACAGACTGGTACACTCTGGACTGTTAGCTCAAAAAGAAACGTCATGCTATCAGGACAGGGTGTTGCCTAATCCTGAGAAGGCTTCATAATGTAGAAGAAAACCTGAACCGTTGGGGAGGCGGGAGGTAGATGATGCTTGTTTAGCATCGTCAGAAAGAAGATTCTGGGACAGTCTTGGTCATGGGTTGCACATGGGGGCAGTGTCAGACAGGCCTCAGAAGTATACCAGGCCACATAGCAATAGGAAACCTAATAGTGGATGATACCTTAACCATAGCCCCCTCCAGCTCTGTAAGAGTGCCTTTCGGGTCTGCAGTAGAGGCAGACATGGTCCGCAGGTCCCTGGTCGCCAATGCCCAGCGCCAGCCACCAATGGTTCCACAGGAGTACACTGTGAATGACAGTACCTTGGTTGTGTCAGTTTTCCCAAAGCCTGGAGTAGGGGTGGTTTCAGAGTTGGGAGGCAGTGTGTGCTCTAGGGGTGTCCAAATGGAGAGACACTGGTGGGTTAGATGTAAGTGGGAAGGTATGGTGTGAGGGACCTGAACAGATCCCTCATTTCCCTGATGGTGTTTCTTTCTCTCACATTTAGTAGGTGGACAACTGATGACATCAGTCTCTTCCAGATTTCCATCAATAGCTTTCTTGACCAGCTCTCCCTGGTGATGAGAAATATTCAGCACTTCCAGTTTGTGGCTGTTGTCAAACGAGGAAGAGGAAGGATTCATCACACCTAAACTTTCTCCCCCTAAAAGACAGGACAAAGGCATTTCGTGGTTTTGGTAATTGTTACCTTGCCTTCAAATTTCAATGTTTTGATGCGATTTCCCTTTTATCAGCCCCATGGTTAGCTTGTTTCCCTTTTGCTTAAGGAAAGGGTGCTTAAATGTTTGTTGCTGAACAAAATAAAACTAACATATTGTGGTTTAGATGTTTTGGTCTGACATTACTTTTGGCTATGGCAGAAACCTCCAGGTTTTCTCATCTGTGTACTTTGGTTGGAAGGAAAGTTCTGAAATTTAAAATTTCTCACAGTCCAAAGCAGGGAAAAGTATTTTAGTAAATGGAAAGAAAAATGATATTATTTAAAGTCTGTTGGTTATTCAGCACACAGTATGGTTATCTTTGAAGTAGGATTTTTTGTTAGAATATGCTAAAGAGCTCTGCTAGCGTGCCCCAGTCCCTGAGTTCAATCCCAAAGTACTGTAAAAAAGAGTGTGGGGGAGGGGTTCTATAGAACTAGGTATATAAAGGCAATAAAGACATTTTTAGGTTTATCCTTTAATATTTTTCCTGGAAATATTTCTCTTACGGAATATTAGTTTTTCCATTTCCTCACACTTTTCAGGAAAATTTTTCATTAAAAAAATCCTATATACAGATACTAAACATTTTGCCTTATCCATACTTTCCTATATAACAAATAATTGAGTTCATGAAAACTTATTTCCTTAAGGTATATTAGAAGAAGCAGATTTCCTGAATTAAAGATTTATATAGTCACGTATTAAATTTTTCTAGATATACTACTCTACCATTTTCTAATATGGGCCTTACACTCACCAAATCTCGGTCTGCAGACTCTCTTTCATAACCACTGGGTTGATCGTTTTCATACAGAAGGGAAAAACTGATTTATTTTGAGAAGACAAGAAAGAAAACCCAGATCAGGATATCTGAGGCTCCCAGGCCTTCTTTCAGATTAGTGTAGAGCAACATTGAGACAAATGGTTGTGCTTGTTAAGTAGTGACTAGCTGTGTACAAACAGTCTGCATGCGAGAATCCTGCTAAACTCACTCATTAATTCTTGTGACTGTTTATATATATGTTTGTATATATATGTATGTGTACATATGTGTATTAAAGGCAATTTATTTCTTTCTGATTTGATACTGTTTCTTGATTGTTTTCTTTCTTCACTCTGTCTTGAATGTTCCCAGTCCTTCTGTCTATCCCTGTAATGTGTTGGGTGGGGGTCAGGTCTCTCCGAGAGCCCTGCCTACTGCCTCCTGAATGATGAGGTTTTGTATGCAGGTGGACAGACACGGTCACAGGCTCCTGGCTCAATTGGGTTGGGCAGTTACCTGTGATCTTGTGATGACTGTGTGTGGGGTGACCCATTCCTGGTCTCCGGTAGTTTTCTCGTGTGCTGGGCTTGCAGGTCTCTAGTTGGGCCCTCTGGGAGAGGCAGTGCTCTGTTCCTCTGCAGCTGCCCAGACTCAACCTCAAAGACCTCAGCTGCCCAGATTCTCACAACCATCTCTTCAACTCTGGGTGTCTCCTAGGGTCTACTGACAGTTTCTCCCTCCAGGAGGATGGGCACCAGATGTAGTGTGATTTCCAATTGGCCTTAATACTAAAAGCCCAGAGTCAAGCATTAGGGGGTGAAATCTGAAAGATCAGAGAAACGGAACAACCAGCAATGAGTGCTTACCTATACAAAATCCTCAGACAGAATGGATTTTGTCTCTTTAAGTCCTCAGGCTAAATGCCATGCCCTCCTGTCTCCTCCCACCTTGAATTCCCCTCTCAGCCCAGCCATCTCCCTTCCTGTATCCATCTCCCTAGTGCTGCTGGGGTTAAAGGCCTGTGATCACCAAGTACTAGAATTAAAGGTGTGAGCCACCACTACCTGGTTCTATGTCTCGGAGACTGGATCAATTTTGTGTAGCCCAGGGTGGCCTTCAACTCACAGAGATAGGTTTCCCTCTGCCTCCCGAGTACTGGGATTAAAGCTGTGTACCACCACTTCTGGGCCTCTATGACTAAATAGTGGCTTGCTCCACACTCTGATCCTCAGACAAGCTTTATTTGTTAGAGCACAAGCAAAATATCACCACACTCATCTACTCTGTGTCTGGACTTCCACTGATCAGTGTCCATCTTGGCCCCATATCCTGTGCCTTTAGTGTCCTGTGCATCATATACTTTGAGGCTTCTGTCTTGTGGGTGGGTAGATCCAGTTCCTGGTCGGCCATGTGTGTGAACAGTGCCCACTTGCAGTCCTGGGAGGATCTGACACTGGACTAGAGGGAAAGAGTGTCTGTGTACGTTCCATTGGCAATGGCCTTAGCAACTGACCTGAAGTAGCTGGGGCTGGAGAGGATGGTTGTCCACTGACCCAGTATCGGTGCTACTGGCCAAATTAAGAGTCTCTCCCTAAGAAAACAGGATATTCCAGGACAAAAACAGATATAAACAATACATAGCCACAAATCCAGCCTTACAGAAAATACTAGAAGGAAAATCACAAACCAAGGAAGTCAACAACACCCATAATAACACAAGCATCTGACAGCCCTCCACCAGCACAACTCAAAGAAGAGAAACACACAAACACCACCACCAGGAAAAATAACCAGAGTCAACAACCACTGGTCATTAATATCGATTAATATCAATGGACTCAACTCACCTATAAAAAGGTACAGGTTAAGAGAATGGATACGAAATCACGATCCAACATTCTGCTGCCTACAAGAAACACACCTCAAACACAAAGACAGACACTACCTAGGAGTAAAGGGTTGGGAAAATGTTTTCAAATCAAATGGACCAAAGAAACAAGCGGGTGTGGCTATACTAATATCTAACAAAATTGATTTCAAACCAAAATTAATCAGAAGAGATGGAGATGGACACTTTATACTCATATCAGGAACAATTCATCAGGAGGAAGTCTCAATCCTGAATATCCATGCTCCTAATATAAAAGAACACACATATGTAAAAGAAACATTACTAGAACTCAGAACATACATCAAACCACACACTCTAATAGTGGGTGATTTCAACACTCCTCTCTCACCAATGGACCGGTCAACCAGACAGAAACTTAACAGAGAAATAAGAGAATTAACAGATGTAATGAACCAAATGGACTTAACAGACATCTATAGAACATTCCACCCAAGCAGAAAAGACTATACCTTCTTCTCAGCATCTCATGGAACCTTCTCAAATATTGATCATATAATTGGTAACAAAGTAAACATTCATAGATATAAAGAAATCATAGTAATCACCTGTGTACTATCGGATCTCCATGGAATAAAGTTAGAATTCAACAACAATTCTAACCCCAGAAAGCCTACAAACTCATGGAAACTGAACAGTCAGCTACTGAACCAACCCTGGGTCAAGGAAGAAATAAAGAGAGAAATGGGATCCTTCCTTGAATTCAATGAAAATAAAGACACAACATACCCAAACCTATGGGACACTATGAAAGCAGTGCTAAGAGGAAAGTTCATAGCACTAGGTGCCCAAATAAAGGAAATGGAGAAAGCACACATTAGAGACTTAACAGCACACCTAAAACCTTTAGAAAAAAAAGAAGCAGACTCACCCAGGAGGAGTTGAAGACTGGAAATAATCAAACTGAGGGCTGAAATCAACAAAATTGAAACACAGAAAACAATTAAAAGAATCAATGAAACAAAAAGCTGGTTCCTGGAGAAAATCAACAAGATTGACAAACCCCTATCCAAACTAATCAAATGGCAGAGAGAGAACATGCAAATTAACAAGATCAGAAATGAAAAGGGGAACATAACCACAGACACAGAGGAAATTCAGAGAATCATTAGATCTTACTACAAAAGCCTGTATGCCACAAAATTGGAAATTGTGAAAGAAATGGACACTTTTTTAGATAAGTACCATATACCAAAGTTGAACCAAGACCAGGTGAACAATCTAAATAGACGGGCTAGTTGCAAAGAATTAGAAGCTGTTATCAAAATCCTCCCTACCAAATAAATCCCAGGACCAGATGGTTTCAATGCAGAATTCTACCAGAACCTCCAAGAAGAGTTAATACCTATACTTCTTAATGTATTTCACAATATAGAAACAGGAGAGTCATTGCCAAATTCTTATTATGAAGCTGCAGTTACCCTGATACCAAACCCACATAAAGACACAACCAAGAAAGAGAATTACAGGCCAGTCTCACTCATGAACATCGACACAAAAATCCTCAACAAAATACTGGCAAACCGAATCCAAGTACACATTAGAAAAATCATCCATTATGATCAAGTAGGCTTCATCCCAGAGATCCAGGGCTGAGTCAATATATGCAAATCTCTCAATGGAATCCATCATATAAATAAACTGAAAGAAAAAAACCATATGATCATTTCATTAGATGCTGAAAAAGCATTTGACAAGATTCAACACCCCTTTATGATAAAGGTGTTGGAGAGATTGGAGATACAAGGATCATTGCTAAATGTAATAACAGCTATTTACAGCAAGCCGACAGCTAACATCAAATTCAATGAAGAGAAACTCAAAGACATTCCACTAAAATCAGGAACACGACAAGGCTGTCCACTCTCTCCATACCTCTTCAATATAGTGCTTGATGTTCTAGCAATAGCAATAAGACAACATAAGGGGATCAAGGGGATTCGAATTGAAAAGGAAGAAGTTAAACTCTCGTTATTTGCAGATGATATGATAGTGTACATAAGTGACCCCAAAACCTCTACCAAAGAACTCCTACAGCTGATAAACACCGTTAGTAATGTGGCAGGATACAAGATCAACTCAAAAAAATCAGTTGCCCACCTATACACAAAGATAAAGAAGCAGGGAAGGAAATCAGAGAAATTTCACCTTTCATGATAGCCACAAATAGCATAAAATATCTTGGGATCACTCTAACCAAGGAAATGAAAGTCCTATTTGACAAGAACTTTAAGTCTTTGAAGAAAGAAACTGAGGAGGATACCAGAAAATGGAAAGACCTCCCTTGCTCTTGGATTGGAAGAATCAACATAGTAAAAATGGCAATTCTACCAAAAGCAAACTATAGATTCAATGCAATCCCCATCAAAATCCGATCAAACTTCTTCACAGACCTCGAGATAACAATAATCAACTTTATATGGAAAAACAAAAAACCCAGGATAGCCAAAG